CAAGAAATTTGTGACCTTCTCAACACCCACTTTGCAAACATCGCTAGTCAACTACTCTCAAACCAACCTCCCAGCTATGGTAGTCCTACAGATTTTATGAGCCCATCCACACCCCATTCCATTTGTCTATATCCTGTTACTGAACAAAAAATATTAACTACTGTTAATATCTTGAAAAACAAAAAGAGCTATGCAGACGATGGACTCAACATGTTCCTTATCAAAAGCATAATTTTCTCTATCATATCACCACTTAATCATATCTTCAACTTATTACTAAGCACTGGAATCTTTCCTGACTCATTTAAAATAGCCAAAATCATACCAGTATTCAAGAAAGGAAACAAAGATGACATTAACAACTACAGACCCATCTCCATTCTTTCCCCGCTGTCAAAAATTCTTGAAAAACTTTTCTTTAAAAGACTCTCTAATTTCTTCTGCTCCAACAATACAATCTGCAATAACCAATACGGATTCAGACCCAACCACTCAACTGAGCTTGCTATTCTTGACTTCACTCAGCATATACTAAATGAAATGAATAACAAAAATCTTTCTATTGGCATTTTTCTGGACTTATCCAAAGCCTTCGATGTCATCGATCACAAAATACTCCTATCCAAACTACATCATTACGGAGTAAGAGGCACAGCTCACAACTGGATGAGAAGCTATCTTTCATCACGGACACAATATGTTTCCATGGACAACATCAATTCAAAGCACGCTCTTATTCATCACGGGGTGCCACAAGGATCCATACTAGGACCCCTTCTATTTTCTATCTACATAAATGACCTCTGCAACGTTTCGCCCTCAACCAAATGCGTACTGTTCGCAGACGACACCAACCTTCTTTTTACTTCCAACAACCTACCAGATTGCTCTGAACATATCAATCTTGAACTCCAAAAATACTCTAACTGGTTATCCAATAACAAACTAATCATAAATTATTCGAAATGTGCATACATTATTTTTGGCCCAAAAATACTCACCAACCAAGCTCCTAACCTAAACCTATTAGTTAATGGTGTTCCTATAAGCCGCACCCTGTCTACCAAATTTCTTGGAATCACCATCACAGAAAATCTTTCATGGAATTCTCACCTACAAACTACCTCAGACAAAATCAACAAACTCACAGGCATCTTCTACAAAATCAAATATAAACTCTCTCTTTCTGCTCTTCGCACGCTTTATTACACATTCATCTACCCTTATCTAACCTACTGCATCATACTATGGGGAAATAGTCCAAAAAGCCACCTGAATAACCTAATACTTTCCCAAAAAAGATCAAAACGTTTAATTTTTAACCTCAAACCCGATTCTCATACTAAACCCTTCTTCCTAGCAAAAAAAATTTTACCACTTAACTTCATCTGTCTTTACTACTCTGCTTTATTCGTTTTTAAATTTATCAGCAATCTTTTCTCACTTCACTTTATCAACTTCTACACATTAAGTAACTCCGTTCAATCTACAACCACTAGACACACCCCTCTCTTCTATATCTACAAAACTCGCCTCAAATTAATCCAGACAAGCATAAAAATAACAGGTCCTAAAATTTGGACAGAACTTGTACCTTCCCATCTAAGAGCCATCATAAACCTACAACATTTCAAGTCAAAATTCCGTGCTTTTTTATTGACACTGGATCTCGATTCCACCACCTTATATTATATTAAGAATACGTTAGATACGGATGAATGGTCTTTATGAATGGTTAAACATTTATGTGTTTATATATGTACTGAGCGAACATTTACATAGTTATATGTCTATATATGTATGGCACGAACATTTACTTATTTATCTTCAATTATCTTTCTGCTTCAGTTATTTTCCTTATTTTATTTCATTAACTATTCATGTATCTACCTGCGGTGGCCACCACAAGACAAACAGTCTTATTCGGTCTCCGCATATTCAACTTCATAACTTTTATTCACTTATTTGATATGTTGTTGATTATGAATAAAACTTTGAAAATGAAAATGAAAGATAGGAAGCCGAAGTTACATTATTTACATTGGAAATAATTATAAAAATCTTTGTTATTTAACCACCAATACTCCACCCATCTGATCATCATTAACATTTTTCATACAATTTTTCGTTTCTATTGAATGTTATCTGCTTCTTTGATCTGATACGCATTTTTAATTATTAGCAGATTGAACGTTTAGTGCTGATTAAACAATGTCTTTTTTTTAAAGTTTATTGCTAATTGTTTCACCTTTCTGGTATAAATAATCATTTAAAGATATATTTGTTATTGTTTTAACATTGAAAAAATTGACTTTGAGTTGAAATTTTATTAAATAAAAACTAAATAAAAAAATCTAATTCAAAATTTTTTATTCGAGTTTGATACAAGAAAAGAAATTTAGAAATAGAGAGATTTATCGCAAAAAATACAAATCATTTGTATTATTAAATAAATAAATTAATTAATTAAATTTATTTATTATATTATTTTTATTAACTATAATTATTCATCTAACTATCTATAGAACTATCACCTGAATGATGTTATAATATATAAGCCATGATAGGTTGTCAATTTTAAAGTCGGTCATAAATTATTCATTCGCATCCATCAATTTAAAATTCTTTTGCAGCTCAAATCATTTGAATAACAAACAAAAAAAGTTTCTGTGATGTATTTCAAATTCATCATAACTTCTCTTCACCAAATTCCAATTCAATGAACTTGTGACCCTAATATCCTAACACCCACTTAAATATTATTATACATTGTCTACTTCTATTAACTATTCAAAAATTTGTGTGTTGCTCTTCAAATTTTGTTCTATTTTATTAATAAACAAATAAAACAACAATGATTGATGGATACTGTATTTTAATTAAATTAAGAGTGTATACAAAAATTACAATTGAAAGTGTGTGTCTACATATTTTAATGTAAACCTTTCAGTCCACAAAGTGATATGAAACAAAAAAAGATTAGACATAACAAAGCGGGAGTCGTTACACCAAGTATGTATTGAAACCACAAACTATGTAAAATAATAAAACACTTAGCCAGCGATATAGCAAGAGGTAAAAAACTACAATTACATAAGCAATTTTCTTCCTTCAAATATTAACATAATGTAAAAGTAGTTGATATGTTAGGAAACTTGAAACCAACAAACCCATGCATAATTTTGAGATTATTCAATTCATTCAGTTTGTTTTCAAAAAACCATTTTATGTTACAATAAAAAAAACGAATTATAATTTCTTCAAAATTCGGCAAAATTCAAAAATGACTGGATAGATGCCAGATGACACTTGCAAAAATCTTAGGTAGAACAAAGTTGAAAAAATTAATGTACAAAAGCTATCATCCACCGTTGTTCTTGTAGATATACAGTTAACACAAAAATGGAAATTTTTGATGTTTTCTTATCTTAAAAATGAAATTTATAATATTTCAATAGTTTATTTTAAAAAGTTAAGTTAGCTGTTAATAATTTAATAATAATTTAATAATTAAATAATTTTAAACACTTGGTCATTTAGAACCGTATTTGGTTTATTACATTCAACGTTAACGTCCGTTTATTGATTTGTAATGCTTTGAAAATTTGACGTATTTTATTTGCTGTATTTACTAAAAGTTAAATTTTTTTTTTGCAATACATCAAAATTATAGGCCTTGATAATATATTGACATATACATTCATTCATGAAACATTTGCAAGAATAACTGTAATAGAAACGTGACGTTACTTTTATTTTGTAACGTGGCTAACATTGAACCCAAAATTTAAACCCAAATTTAAAAAACTTAACATGATAAAACAATTTCCGTCACCACATCTTCTGCTGTTAACATTTCATTCATTCATATCTTTGTACACACCCAAATTTAATCATTAACCGTAGATGCTTTTTTTAATGCTAAGATGTTATCATAAAACTGTTTTAAAATTATTAAAATTTGAAAAAATAACAAATTATGCAAGATTTGCAAAACTTTTGTAACGTTTCCGTAAATTTTTATAAAAATGGTTTGTTTCTATTTGAGAAAAATATATTATATGGCAGTAATGTTTTTTCCTTCATATCCTTCGTTGTCTTTACTTTGAGTACGTATTACCATCTACAAATTTCAATTCTGAAGGTCAGTCCGTGGCAGTTTGAAACGTCATTTTTTATATAAATTCTTGCGGTGACAATCAAACTATTTGACCACAATCGTATAAATTAATGCTTAATGCAATCATATGAAAAGCAAAAAAAAAACGTAAAAGCAAAAATTAAGTTTTAAAAATTTTATTAACGTTGTTTTATCTCAAAAACAAAGTTTTTGAAGAAGCAAAAAGCTAATCAAACAAACATCATTTAATAAATATGAAAACAGTCAGTAAAACGACAGCCAGCAATTTAAAAGGAAGTGAATTCAATAGAGAAGCTCTGGATTTTCGCGTTGTACCTGTAGTAATTTGTAAGGTAGAATTTTCAATAGTTGTTGCAGCTAATACATCTGAACAGCTTCCAAAATTATCTTTCTGATCCCCATCGATACAATTTATTAAAGATGATCCATTCAAAACGTACCCAGTATTGCACGCAATTGAGTAATTGACACGAGTGAAATCGCTATTGTTCTGAATATTGACAGTAGCATGAAGAATGTTTATGGTTGAGATACATGTTTTTTTCATTTGTTGATACTCCGCTACTTGCCTGTCACTTGCCTGTTGAATGACAACATTAGTCAATCCGACATTCACATCTCCTGTAACGAACGCGTCAAATATGCATTGAGAGTTGTTGCCACACTGAGGGTAGGAGTTTGTTGGTTGACCGAAGAATGGAGCAAAGCTTGAATGTTGGTAATCACTCCATTTCAAACCATCAGGATAGCTGAAAATGCTTGTTTCGTTAGTTGTTGCCCACGACATGCCAAATTTGAAATGAATGTCTTCTGGTGAGGATGTTTTTGGAATCCACGTCCCATTGGGCAGCATGAAATCATTCGACGGATCATCATCCCAATTTCCAATCAAGCCAGAGACTTGTCCTTTAAGACTGGGTTGTAAGGCTGTTATAACATGAATCATGTTGTTCAAGTTGTAAAACTGAAAACTGAGTCCAGTTATTGTGTGCAGGCTGATGAGGGTGGTGTTGATTACTGCACTAACTTCCGGTAAAGATAACGATTCTTCTTCCCAAATCACACCATCAATTTTCAATTGTAATTTATTCGTAGTTGTAAATTCAACTTGTAAAATCAGGTCGTCGTAAATTTTTATGGCGAACGCGGCAAAGTAGCTTGCCGGCTTGGGTACATTGTTCCTGTCTACGTACTGCTTAATTCTCGCTTGTACCGTGGTGTTTGGTACTTGCAAGTAAACGAATTCTCCAACCGGATTGAACTCGTAAGAAGTTCCATCCATCGTAGTGAAATGTGGATCACCTCGAGCCGGCACAGGACGTGGTGGAACGTAGTGTCTGGAGTCAACGGAAGGTCGTTTTTCATAGTATTTGTCACACTGATCAGAAAAGATGCAACATTGAAAGTATGGTAAGACATCAACTTTGAAATGTTCCCATTTTGATTTTTCGGGGTCATATAAATCCAACGTTCCTCCACCTGGCGGTCCAACAATTAACATATTGTTACTATTGTAGCAGCACTGGACAGCTATGTTGTTTGGGTTGTTGGTACTTCTGTAGCATGCTTTAGCACCCTTGTGAAATAGTTTGCAACCAATAAGTCCAAAAAAAGATGGATTACATGAACTATCTTTTTTGAAGCCTCCCGAAAGTTGGTCAGGAAAGTTACCTGGAACAGTTGGCTGACAAGGATTTTGTCTTGATTCCCTTTCTTTTATTTGATTTATTTCTGCCGTATATTTTTCTTTCTTATGCCACTTGCTGCACAAGTTTTCATCGTTTGATATTGATGTCAAAAATTCTTTTACGATTTCAAAAACAAGCCTTTCAACATTCAATAAATATCGAACTGATACAACGTTGAACTCAACGTTGGTCATTGTTAGCTTATAGTTTCCATTATTGTTAATTTTTTCAAGTACTTTAAAATTTTCGAAAATTATATTGCCATTTGCATTGCGTTTAATCACTTGTTTCAATCCTCTTAAGGTTATCAATTTTTCACTGAATATCTTTTGGTCCCATTTTAAATAAGCAAAATTGTCATCTGTTTTGTTCAACGTAATATACGTGGCACTTTGCACGAGGGGATCAGCAGAATCATATGAGAGAACGAAACTTTTGTATTCTACATGTTTATATTCTACTAAAACAGGAATTCGAATATTAGAATCAAAATACGGAGTTAAACATTTAAGCTTGTTTTCTTCTTTTTGGCATTTAATTTTTTCTTCATTTCCAAATTTAACATCAACTTCATTAATGCTCTTTTCGAAACAAGGTCCACTTATGAACAAATCTTGCTGTCCGTAATAAAGCACTTTCATAGGATAAATTTCCAGCATTCCCAATGAATTGCATGCAGAGGCAATTTCATCACTTATTGAAAACAGCCATTCTCCTGGAGAACCAACATTACTATTTTCTAAAGCGTATTTTGATATATTAACCGTATTAGAGTAATCAACCTGGTAAAATCTTTTTCCATCACCGGCATTGAATCCAATCTGAGCATTTGAATATTCCAGTCTGTCGTAAAGGAAGATTACAAACGAATGTATGCCGTTGCTAGTTAGGATGGTTTGATGGTTGACTACGTTTTGACATGGATATTCGGCACTTCCTTGACAATCATATCTAGAGACGTTGCTAAACGTTACAATAAGTGACCATGAGCTCGTGAACGTATTAAACTGAACAAATTTACTTTTTATAAATCTATTTATTTGATTCAATATAGCAGGATCAAATTCTTCTCTGTAATAAATATCACCACCCATTCTTGGATCACTGTCAACCCAGTATGCTGCAACCGATAGTGTACCGTTAATTGGAAAAGGAGTTGGCACGTATTGAGTGCTACCTTGTCCGAAAAAAATAATTCCATTTGTGCTTATGTGAATCTGAGAGAAGGTTTTCCCAAAAAACGGAAATTCAAAATTGATGTTAATTGTCGTAAAAGCATCGTCTTGTTTAGCCAGGGCGGCATCTTGTGCTTGTAATCCATGTGGATACAGATTTGGAAGAGCTTTAAGAACGTGTAAATGGAACATTATCAAAGCAAACACACTGACCCTGTTATGGAATTATTTATTTTGAATATGTTATAAATCTTGAATTAACAAAAATAATTTTAGCACCATGGGTATAATATATAATGTTATATATGTCCATGGTTAGCACTCATAAATTTAAAAAAAAAGTAATTAAAAAATATCTTGCGAAATGCAGTTGAAAAATGTTTATCTAAATGTTTAAAAAAGGTTAAAGGTCTATTACACACTTTCTATGGTGTAAATATGCTTTAGCTATTTTAGTCAGCATTTCAAGAGTTTAATTGTTATTGTATGTTTTTTTCATTTTAAAATATTACTGAAGAAATTTTCTGGATGCCAAAACATTTTTTAGTTAGATATAAAAGCAAACTAGTGAAAAAGGTTAAATATATCGTTTTATAAAAGGTTTATAAAATGCTTATGAAAAATTTTTGGCGCATTTGATAAAAACAGACTAACACCACTAACCACATCTTAAGCCAAACGATGTAAAAGATTAAGAAAACCAGGACTTACTTGAGCATCTTTGCTCTTTAGTTACTTCTGAGCCCGCAATAAGAAAAACTTTAACTATGTGATTGTGGAACTTCGCAGAAATAATGATATGACGATACTTGTACGATTGCATCCTTTTATAACGAAAGTTTTAGGCACTTGAGAGTATTTTTATTATTATTATAATTTTCATTATTATTTTTATTATTATTCCTGTCACATGACGAGAATCACGGAGAAGAAGTCAAAAAAATATTTTTATTGAACTTCAAAGATTTCCACTTTCTTAATTTTATTTTTTTTCGGAATCTAAAAACTACGTTTGAAGTGATTTTTAAAAATTATTAAAAAATAAATCCCATATCTTACAATGATGTTTGTAAATATTTCACCAATTATTATTTTAAAAACTAAATCACTTGAGAATAGATTTTTATGGAGCTATAAACTTAATTTAAAAAAAAGATGAACTAATAAAAATAATTCGAATACAAAAGAACTTTACGAAAAATTTGGGAAAACACGCAGCGACACGCACACACACACACACACACACGCATGCACACGCACACACACACATACACACACACACAAACACGCACACACAAACACGCACACAGATACTGATTGTAATATACAGTAACACTATGCTAATAGAAATAAACACTCGTCTCAACATTTAACTTCGTCGTAACAGGAAACCAATTAAGCAGTATACTTAACATCTTCAAATTTTGTGTTATCCACAATGTCTCAATGAATATGTTATTTCACATCGAATGAATCATCGCAATAACGCAATTCTGATTAATCGTAAATACACAACATATGTATGGTGCGTAATTTAATAATTGGATTCGGTTGTTTTAACAATCAATTTATTTTTTAATGACATTAACGACAGCTTAGGGTCGATGCAATTCACAATTGTTCACTTTTCCTAATATCTTCTTGTCGTTGGCCATTGGCGGATTTAAGGGGTTCGGGGCATTTGAGAATTTTTTTAAATATTTGTCAAAATAGGACCGTTCTGTGTGTAAAATCGACCAAAAACTAAACTGAACGTGATACGCCAAAAAAAACGGTCACACTACCACAAATCTTGGTTCCCCTCCGTAAAAATTTAAACATTTACAAATTTTTTGGCCCCTCCTTTGTCAAAGTTGCCTAGATCCACCACTCGTTCGTTTATATAATCTTTTTGGCTTTCAGGACAAATCTGTTTGGTTTTGTTAAATAAAAGGAATTTGAATTTGCTATTTTTATTGAGTTCAACATTCTTGCCTTAGATCATTTGTTAATGCATCCATTTGGTGAATTATGCAAGATTAGAGCACTCCGTCTGAATGTCGAAGACCTTGGGGCGTTTATTATACTCTAATTTATGGTTTGGGCAGATGAGGAAATTATTTATTTATGAACTCTCATGTGAAGATACTGATAATAAAAGCCGTAAAATTGAGATCGAATATTATATTGTCAACGCCTTCTTGTATCGTTTGAAAATAACAATCTATACTAAGAGGATCTAACATGCTTATATTCTTTGATTAAATTTGAATTTTTGAGCTCATAATTTCAAATTAAAGGAAAGACTTCAAGCAGTTTTTATCAAAATATTTTTAATTTGGCAACAATTTACAGAAATGTATTTGTCAATGTTTTTCAGTTATAGTTATATAAAAGCATAAAAATTGATATAATAATAGCTATTCAAATATTCATGTTAATTCTTTTTCTATGTTTTATCTCTAATAAATGACATTGTAATCTTTAAAAATTTATTCAATTATTCATTTTAAATGAGCATTTTTTTTTCAACTTTGCTCTTCAAATAATAGTAATTGAAACTAATGAATATATAAGAATGACCCTTGAAATTATTTGGAAGAACACTTGAAGGACAAACATACCATTAACACTGCCAGCCTTCGAAGATTTTGAGAATTATTTAATAATAAGAAAACTTCACAGTTGCAATCAATACAACAAATATTCTGCTAAAAATATTATTAAAAATGCTAGAATATAAAGTTTATGAATTACTTTGAGATTTTGGATCAGATATGGGTTGGATCAGAGAATCAGATTTAGAGAGGTGAATGTCCCGATGTGAATAAAGAGTTTCTCTTCTTTTATTTTGTCGTCGTCCATTGATTTCTTTGCTGGTTTACGTAGTTCGCAGCTAAAAACCTCCTACTTTTTTAGCATGGCTTGGAACCGTCTTTGGCGGAGTTAAGGAGTGGAGACTCCTAATAAGTTTCCCATTTTCACCGTTATTTTAGTCTTATAACTCATCACCCCAAATTACAGAAAAGTGTTTCTAACCAACCTCCAAGATGTTCACTTCTGAAATCGATTCACGAGAAAACGTCGTGCAAATCCAACAATATCAAAAATTGATAGTTTGTGGAAACTTGTAATCAGAGCTTTCATATATATATATATATATATAATGAATAAATATTATGTACATAATATTTATAACAATCAAAATAACTTCTGTACGTAAAAGTTGCAGTCCAGTCAAAATCAAGATCATTTGTCATCTCTATTGCGAGAGCCTTTCTTTTGTAGGGGCTCAGGGCAGTAAGGGCCTGCTTTCACCCAGTTATGCGCCTACCGTTCGTAGTCTACAAAACATTTTGCTACGTTACTGTATAATCATAATAAAATATTTTTATAAGCCCATAAGCCCACTCAATATATCTCGATGAAGATTTTTAATTCTATTTATTAATTCCAAAGTCAGACCATTTTAAATTGCATATGAGTAGTAAATTATTTAGTAATTTCGTTTGATCTACGGCAATTGACGTAAAAATCTCCAAGTTAATTTCAAGTTTTTCAAATCTGAAGTGTTCTTATCTACGTAGTCGGTGTATATAATTTTTTATGCCCGCACGAATTCGTTTGTATTTGAACTCGAATTTTGGAACTAAAAAATTTATAAAACAAAGCGATTTGAAAATTTATTTATTCTGTATTTATCAACATTAGGTACATTTTATCTGAAAATTAGCATTAAACAAACTGATGCTTTGCTATGATCGTAAGTCTAATGTGTTTCATGTTGGACATTACCACACTCGTTTTTTTTTTCATTTCTAACCCAAAATGTATTCAGAAATACAAAAGTCAAGTAAATTTCACTTGAATAAACTCTTGAAAAAAATTATTGGCAGCCTTGAACAAGACGAGTCAATAAAAAATAGGCAAATTTTCATTTTCAATTTTTTTAATTAAAAAAAGTAGTTTCAAAGATTTTTAGCATGCAAATATTATTTGTGGAATTATATATACATATATATATATGTATATATATATACATATATATATATATATATATGTTGGTAATAGACCATAATTTTTACAATATTCTATAAATTCTACCAAAAGTCTGGCGTTAATATGTTTATAGTTCCTTTTTCAATTTTTCTCACTAAAGTATTTTGGTGAACGTTTAGTTTATTAAAATTCAAAATATTACAGAAGCAGTCCTTATTGACATCAATAAACCAAAAATAAATATACAACAAAAAATGAAAACCTCACTTCCAACCCGGCGCTTAACCAACAACGAAAACAAAGAAGTAATAAAAACTAGCATTGTAAATAGTGACAAAGAAGAATATGATGCTATCGATGAAGAAAAGAAGACCAAAGAAGATGACCAGCCAATAAAGAAACCTGACACCTAATTTCCATCTAAGTTCATTTTGACAAAGTCAATCTCCATTTAAGTTCATTTTGACAAAGTCAATATTTCCCTATATAAACAGCAGAAAGCACTGATGATGATTTATTTGGAATCGAAATATGGCCTTATTTGTTGCATGAATTCGGAAAATAAGTTTATTTTGAATTTTAATAAACTAAACTTTCACCAAAAAACTTTAGTGGGAAAAATTGAAAAAACGAACTACAAACATATTAACGCCAACCATTCGGTAGAATTTATAGAATATTGTATATATATATATATATATATATATATATATATATATATATATATATATATATATATATATATATATATATATATATATATATATATATATATATATATATATATATATATATATATATATATATATATATATATATATATATATATAACTTGTAGGGTATAGTTATTTGTCTCTACGTGGTTTCTTGACTGATTTCAGACGAACTTTATCAGAAAGAAAACAGTGCTGGCAATCACTTGTGTGTATTGCTGTGATCAATCAGCTGTTTATTCAATTGATAAAATCATTTGAATACAGCAAAATAACAAAAAATCGACAGGTAAATCACGGAATAAAACCAATCGTCAATAATTAAGCTTTTCTTGTCGGAATAATTATATTGTGTTCTCCTAGCCCTGTTATTCTTTACTGCAGTGAGTTTCCAGCTATCAAAATCTTACTTCTGTCACCAGTGGGTAATCTCCTGAAGATCCCACTTCTAACACCAGCGTTGTAACCTCTTCGACCTCGTAACTACCAACACCGATGTTATAGCTTCAAAACTCGCTATATCTCCAACACCGTGTTGTAGCTTTCAACGATAGTCAAGAGTTCGTTTATCCGTAAGTTTAAGATTTCCGATAGATGAACACAACTACTTTAAGCGCAAACTAAGTTGAACGTTTATTTAATACCAGCAGTAGGTAATAGAAACAATAAACTAATCCAAATAACTACGTAAATCACATTTACGACTTCTACGTCAACTGTTGTTCCGTCTTCTTCTTACCTGTTCTCCTCTCTCTTCTGTGCCTGTCCTCGTTCATCTTTCCCCCCTCGTGTGTCTTTTGGCGTTTCTTTATATAGCTAACGATGACGTGTCACGTGACTTTTTTTTTACAACCGTTTTAATTATTTACGCCTTTTAATTAAATGCAAGCGCTTCCCACAATTTCTAACTATGTACTAGTTCTTATCTCGGTTTCACGTCTGTATTAATATATATGCACTTATAGATGAAAATCAAAGCATGTTCGGCATTGGTTTACTTCCAATTTAATTTTTCGATTTTTCTAACGGTTGATTGTAAATAATTTTCAAGTTTCTTTAGTTCAAAACAAATTTTTATTATTTTATGCATGCTTTTCTGTTCTATCATGTTATTAACATGATGTTAATATATAATGTTGATGTATGTGTCAAATAAATTTTTGATCGATAAAATTTTAATAACATTTTCTGCCTACGTATAAAATTTTGTACTGTTTTGTCTTGTTTTGTATATAATTTTGTGTATATATAACAAATAATATTATTATATTGCTATAATCATAATATGTAAGTAGTTACATCGTATTTTGCTTATGCCAAATTAATAGAAATGATACTTTTATTAAATACTGTTACATCCCTGAATGCAAACTTAGATTGTCTTTTCGTTGCTTTGTGATTTTTTCCTTTTCCGGCCTTATTGTTTATTTTGAGCCTTTTGTTCGGGACTGTCCGAGTCAATCCTCTGCGATCATGATTATCTACAAGGACGCTTTCACTGGTTAGTTTCAGAAATCGTTCTTCATTCATTTATCGATGATATGTGCACGTTTTTAAAAAATCAGTCCCCAATTGAAATGAATAGCCCCCAACATAACCACAAAGTCGTTGAATGACCAGTTTTAAATTAGTGACTTTTCTTTTTGATTTTGAGTCATTGTGACACGGATAGCAAAATTTTATTTAAAATTTTGCTTAAACTCATAGCTAGTAATTTTATATATCTATTTAGTTTAGTATTTATTCAATTTATTTATCATTCATAATGTGATCTATTTAAAATAGGTGATGAACTCTTTTCTGACAGTGTACCAATGAAGCTGATTAACAATATTGTGTACAAGCTCAAGGGAACGGTCAGATTTTAGTACTCAATTATTGCTTGAAAAAACTTTAGTACAGTTATATTAGTTATAAATTCAAATACATATGTCATGCATGTGGAAAGTATGTTAGAAATATTTATCAGAATGTTTTCTGTTTATTAATTCTTTTCCAATTCCGTTGCTCAGTTATGCCGCCTCATAGCTATTCTCCTTTTTAAGTCACGTGAACAATCTACCACATGGTAGCTGTCAATGCTATCTTTGAAGATGTCCTAGAATAATATGGGATTTCCAGTTTTAAATTTATTAAATTAAAACTATTTGCTTGAATGAAACACTTAGATGAGAACAGATGTATTCGATATTGATGATTCAGCCATTGGTGGCAACAAATCAGCTGAGGTTCAAGATGAAGGAGCTGATGCAGCCTCGAAACAGGGTGTCGATATTGTCCTCAATGGACGACTTGTCGAATACACATTAGCCAAGAAGGACTACTTACCGCACATCAAAGCATACATGAAACAGTAAGTTTGAATGACCTTTGCATTTTACTCGTTGATTTAATGTTTGTATTTTGTGTCATTTTATTCTGTGAAACTCAAGACTCAAAATTCCTAGTTGTCCTCTCTGAATGATTTCTAGGGCCAAAGTCTTGAAACATAATTTTACGATTAAAGACAGGTCTCTCGTTTAACATTGACGAGTGAATTTCGCTATTTTGTCGTACATTTTTATATAAAATTTAGTTGATTTATCTTAAATTTTCTCTTGTCTTCAAAATGAAACAATTCTACATAATCAAAACTTCTTCTCAGCATTATAATATTTTCAAAAAAAGATAACATGGAATACAAAATTTTTTCAGAGTGAAAGAGAGGTTAGAGAAGGAGTTGCCAGACCAGGTTGAAGTGTTCACATCCAATGCACAGAACTTCATTAAGGAGGTCCTTGCTGACTACAAAGAATACCAGCTATTTTCTGGTTAGTTGTTCTTAATTATATCGACGCTAAATCATTTTTTGAGGTGCTTTGATTATATCTTATTAAATTTACTAATTAGATTGATTATAATTAAATGAATGCACAGGTGAATCCATGCATCCAGATGGCATGCTCGCACTCATGAAGTGGGAAGATGATGTTCCATACATGTACTTTTTTAAACATGGACTTATTGAAGAGAAAGTCGTAAGTACTCATTTTCTGAGATTACATTAAATTCTAAGTTTTTTTCTTTTTTACTAAACTAATAAATCTTTATTCTATGTGTTTTTTGCTTAATAGAGTTTTTACAAACTANATTTTTTTTATTTGCAGTGATCTGG